AAGTTGATGTTTTCTTTTTTTTTTTGGTGTTAAAAGTGTAAGTTTCTGGCACAAATTGCAAAAACAGGTTTTGCTTTTAAATGCCGCATCCAATTATGATGTTTTACACATGATTTTTATATATTTTGTACCTTACTGGTGCATTGAAAATAACTATGGTTACTTAGCACATGATCACTCTGATGTGTGTGTTTGAAGCCACGCTTGTTGGACTTTTATCTGTTATTTTTTAACAATAAAGAGCATTGTTTTTTATTGCTATTAGCTCTTATTTGATACCAAAGGTCTTTGAATTGGGTTCCTGAAAAAGTGCAAGAACCCAGGCTGATATTAGTAATAATTATCTTTGTATATTAATTACATTTTGTCATGGAATTATTCAAGTATAGAGAAGCTACAAAACAATGGTGAAAAGTTCTGCACTGTCAATGTAAAACCATAATTTTATGTTTGAACATGGGAGGGATTATAGTGTCATATTTTTGGGTAAGACACATGCCATGTATAATGCCTCTGTCTTCCAAAAGGGTACAGACAGATACAAGCAAACTTTGTAGGATTCCTGAAAAAGTCCAAGGTGTAGTATTATTACTGTCCCCCCGTTCTCCCTTTCCTCCAATTAATTAATTAATGTTATGAAAACTGAGTTTTAAAACTCTGGCACTGTGGGTTTATAACCATTTATGTAATGCCTGCCATTACAGCTGCTTTGCTCTATTAAACATCAAGTGTGTTATCCACAGGTGTTACTTGATGATGCAGTTAAACAGCTTGGTAAGGTGACACAGGACAAGACTCAGTATTCACAAGTTGTCAAGGGCCTTATAACACAGGCAAGTGTGACATCAGCCAATACTTGATAATAGATATGAGAAAATTATCCTATTTATGTTTGCTAAAGAATGAGTGCAGTTCTCATGTGATATGGGTGCAAATTTATAACACTAGGTAAGGACAAATTGTCTTGTAATCATTTGATTACCCAGTATCCATAGAGAATTGAACTTTTTTGTGTTTGGTATCAGCATTTTTGATGTTTTCATCAAAATATACTGTCTCCTCTAAAGGGATTATTTCAGCTCCTGGAGCCATCAGTGTCTATCCGGTGTCGCCAACAAGACCTTGATATTCTGAAGGTAGTACTCTTCACTTTGATTTCCATATATCTACAAATCCAGTCTAAAAGAAATATGATTAGAAAGGAAATGTGATTAGACTCTTAATTCCTTGAATTTCTTGTGGTTTTTCATCTTTGCCCAAAATTGAAGGTTTTTTTCAGAACTTCTTAGTAGTAAGTACTTGTTGTAAAGGGTTTTTTGTCATGTAAATTTGTGTTGGCTTTCAACAAACCTTGAGTCTGTAATTTTACAGGATTTTTTGCAATAGGGACTGTTTTATTGGCAACATGAGTTAAAATAAAAATTTAAATATTTTGGTTGATAGTAAGACAGATTTTTTCGTCTTCCAAAAATGAAGCCACTGTGTGGTGCAGTTAGAGAAAAGTTGCTACAAAGTTTGAACATACATTTGAGACTACCTTTTACACTGAATTTTCCTCTAACTAGTAGTGCAAAATATTGAAATCAAATGGGAATGAAAAGAGTCCATTTTACAGTTGCGTGCTTGGTTGTCAAGCCTTAGAACAGGAGTGAGGCTAAGTTAGTTGTTATGATACAAAGGACGCTGCCTTTCAAATGTAAATTACTTTGTTATAATGCTAAACAAGAGATTGGTCTCCATCACAGCACGGTCATCTTCAGCCTCACTCCAAATCAAAGGCTTAGCAACTAAGTACACAACTGTTCATAAAATGGCCTTTTAAAATATTGCACTTATTGTCAGTAATAAATTATCCTAATTTGCAGGGTGTAAAGGATGCAGCTGTTGAAGAATATAAAAAAGCCACAAAGAAAAGTGTAGAGCTAATCATTGATGAACAGACATTTTTAGGCTCAGACTGGTAAGTATGTTGTTTGATGCTAGAGCACTTATAATCACATTTTCCCAAATAGGTACCTGCACACCTACTTGAAATCCCAGTCAAAAGGAGTGGCACTTACTAATCAAAGGGGGTGCTTATTTGAAACTATTAACCTCTATTGATTCTGCTATAGTTGAAGCTTGAAAAGTTATAAATAAAGTGGCAATAAAGACAGGTTTTCCTTGTATCCCTGCTATTTTAGAAAGTGATGGAGGAAAGGAGTGCCCCCTTGAGAGGAGCACTTGTTTGATGTTGTAGCCTACAGTTGGGGGGGGGATGGGGAGGCTTATTTGAGGAAATACAGTAAGTTTCAAAGGTAACAGAAAACTGTGCCATCTGCTCAACCATTGATATGCAAGACTAAAACCAACCATGGCTTACATATAATCATGTGCCTCTACAGACTGTGTGAGCAACTACCTGTCTCAGTTTGCTTTGAATTGTTGTATACCCTCTACAAATTTACCTATGCTCTGATTCAATTAACCCGTGATACCCAAGCATCAGTATGAATTTCCTCTGCACTGTTCTTTATACACTTCCTATGGTGCTAGCAAGGAGAGTTTGTTTTAATGATCAAGAGCATATTAGTAGGAGATCATTTCTGTCATCCTTGTGACCTTAATGTGATTCACAGGTGATTTTGTAAGAAGAAATTACGTGTTAGTTATTCTAAGGAGTCAAAGGAAGGGTTCATAATGATTTCTTTGGTTCTTCTGTTGCTAAGGTTTTCATTCAGCCCTAAGCCAGGTGAATGACATTCATAGTGGTGCATACAGCATCAATTTTTTTTTCTGTAAACAGAAACAAAGTAGGCATTTTGGGTTTGCACCATGCATTCATCCTGCCTCATTTGCAAATTGCAACATTTGAACTGCATCAAAACATATAGAACTATCACATAGACAACCAGACTGTAAACAAGTCAAATACATTCATAATTTTTTTTGCAGGTTTGTATACATTTGTATCATTATTCTTATCTATTGCAGTGCTGGTGGTGTTGAATTGTTGGCAAAACAAGGACGCATTAAAGTTGTAAACACATTAGAGAGCCGCCTTGAAATGATGAGTAAACAGGTGTGTAATTATCTCCTTCATTGATAAGGCATATTAATGAATTTTTACACAGTTAATAGTAATAATTAAAAAAATTGTTTAACTATTCCTTTCATTGTTATTGCAGATGATGCCAGAGATAAGGGGGACTTTATTTGGTGCAAATGCCCGAAGAGCATTTTTTGACTGACTTCTTTTACTAGGCAGTATATACAATTTCTTGACCACAAGACTTTCTTTTCTGTATACAAATTTTCCTTTCCTATCCTTAGACCATGTGGTCTCCTACTGATAAGAAAACGTATGTAAACTTCTTTATGGGTGAAGATTCCTTTACATCTACATGTTTTTTGTTTGTTTGTTTGTTTTTTGTGGTTTGGGTTTTTTCTGCATTTGCTTGTTGTCAGTGATTTTATTCTTGTTTTCCTTTGTTTTTGTTTTTGTTTTTTTTTGCTTTTTGTTTTGTTTTGCAGGCCTTGTTTTAGTGAGAATTTTTTTTCAGGGGGGGAAGGGAGGGAAGGCAAAAGAGCCATCCCATGTTCTTAAATTAAATAAGACTTAATGATTATTGAAATAAACACAAATAAGAATTGAGAGTGCTTATCATGTACAATTTTAGTGCATAACCTGGATTGTCCCAGTTAATTTGTAGACTGGATTGAGGCTTTTAACCTGACCCATGCTTTCTGTTTTGCCCACTTGGCACAGAAAGGTTTAAGATAACGTCATTTCATAGTAAGTGATGCCACTCATTTTCTTCCGTTTATTTTTATCTTATTACCTTGTTAAGATGAAATAATCTTGACTTCTATTTTATAGACTGTCAAAGATATCTGTTACATTATTCATATGAAGTTCTCTGGAAATTCTCATTGGACGGTTTTAAGCTTTCTCTGTCTCTTTTGCAAGTTGTAGAAACCAGCTACACTTTACCATTGTCGCGTATTTTGGACAAATCTGTGTCGTACCATCTTCAAGAGGGCAATTACAATACTGCACAGTAAAAAACACTGGTTAAATTACCTTAAGCCTTTGACAGAAGTCTAGTGAATTTGCAAAAAGCTTTGAGCCTTTAGTCTTTATACGAAATCTTTTTCCATTTTTTCTTTTTTTTTTTTTTTGGCAAGCATGAAGCTGATCCATGCCCCCAACTGGTTCGTGATTTTTCTTCTATTTACAATGACCATTTAAAGCTTTTTATAGTCATTTAGTTCATCTTTCTCCCACTTCAAATCCAATTATTTTTTCAGCCACTCCGAAGAAGTACACCATCTGGGCAATCCCAAACAGCGGTGCAATAACGATCATCCTGGGCACTACTCCTTTATAAAATGCGCTGATTCCTTCATTTACGTAGGTTTTACGAACACAATCCCACAGACCGTTGTACGCAGCCTCTCCTCCTGTTCTTATCACCTGGAGCCTCGTTTTTATCACATCCAATGGGGTGACAGCAGCACTTCCTATCATAGCTGGATTGAAACATCAATGGTTGTTAGTTTTGATCCTTAGTTGTATAGCTGGTCGCTAATCCGAAACTGTCAGCAAAGCTATCATTCTTTAATTTTTTTAGAACTTGACTGAACAATGCCCAATTACAACTGACTAGCTTTATGATTAGTAAGTAAGAGGACTACATACATGTCCAATTTATTAAGTTGTAGGAATACAAGGAAAACCTGTTTCTTTTGCCATTTTATTTATAACTCTAAGCTTCAACTACAGCTGAATCTACAGGTCAAGAGTTTCTCATAAGCGTCCTCTCCATTATTAGTCTCCCTACCTGCCCTTTCCGGCGTCGTCCCGGAAAGGGCTGCAAGGGAGACTACTCCATTTAAGCACCCTCCATTAAGCGCCCTCCTTTAATAAGCACTCCTCCTTTTAGCTGAGAAAACAAACTAGCGCCTGCTTGATTTTCTTGTTTTCAAGAGGCACTTAATTTACCAGAAAGTGAGTAGAAAGCAAAACTCATCAAACTCATCAAACTCACCAGCTGTGCAACCCGCCATCAAAGATTGTAGTGGTCCTGGGGCGTGACTGTGCGTCCCACCTCCCTGAAACTAGACAACGAACATGTAGCCAAGTCATTCGTGCGGCAATGGGTTTCATTAACTTATTTCCTTAAGAGTCAGCTCATGGTGCAATACATGGTCAGCTCACGGTGCCGTGAAACGAAACCCAAACATTGAGAGCCTGCTCACAGGCTAAACAGACGGCGATGAGGTCTTGAAGGCGACGGCAGACCGGTAACAGACTTTCATTGAAACCCCTTGTTATGTATTTCTTACTTACCTCAAGCCTGAGATAGGCAAACAGGGGAAAGTAGATGCAAGAAAACGGCACGTCCCTGGCGAGAAAAGCAACAAGAAACAGACAGCTTTGAAATTCTTTACGGTGGTCAATTTACTTTATCAACTCAGTTGATAAAACCAAAATTACCTTGTTACTCCCACCGACGAAGCACCAAAGTTTCTTTAGAAACTTACCCCTTTTGCGGTAAACTGAACACTTACGAGTTGTGAGAGACTAATCCACCATGTCACCTTCACCTGCAGAAGAGCCGTATTTGTTTGCGTTTTTGAGGGGAACTGAGGCAAGCGCGAAGTGAGCGCGTGACTCGTACTTAAAACTTGCCTCCGTTTGCCTCAAAACGCAAAAACAAAAATTACGTCTGTTCTGCAGGCTAAATTAATCATATCATCTCCAGAAGAAACCAAAAAAGAATCCTCTTCATCGCATATCAATACAACCCGGGAACCTTCTCAAAGTGCAAAATAATGAGAAAAAAAGAAAATATCAACGTTAAGATGATGTGTGACTACCAATTGTTTGAGCTCAAGTTTGAAGAAATGTTGCAGAGGATGGTGCAGAGAATTGATTTGCAGACCTTGGGAGTGAGAAGGCTTATTGAGCTGTCAGTGTTTGCCTTGCGCCTGATAAGGCCCAGTGATCATAACTCAAGATTTGTTCACTTGCTCTCTACATTACCTTAATAATGTAGCGCCAAGTCCTCTGTAAATGCCACCTATGCCCTTGCTCCTCATTACGTCATGCGCTATCCTTAGGGCGGATTGGGGGGGTGTGCTTGAGTTGGTACCGAACGTCCTAAGGTTCGAGCTCGCCGCCGCTACAGTTGTAGTCGTGTTGGCTATCCGGGGAGCTATTGGTAAAAAAAAGTAATGAAAGATTGCAGTTGTTTTGGGACCAGACTTGACAGGTTTCCCAACCTTTCAGTTTGAGAACGGAATCGTCCTTTTCAGGGTGAACAAATGTAGATATCAAACTGAGCTGGAGTCCCCTGTAAGTATAACATACCTGTTGTCTGTGATCCAGCTAACTGAAGCTGTATTTTGAGCATTTCCATCGGTGTAGTAATTACCACCTGGAAGGGAAAATAATGACGATCAGACAATTTAATGCTGAAATTAAGCCCACGACCAAAGGAAAGGGAGATTTTAGGCAAAGATTGCTCGCGATATGGGATACCGAGGGAGAATGGTAGCATGTACAAGGTTTGGGCACATGTTTCCTGAATATGAAGCATTTTTATAAGGAAATTGGACGTGTTATAAGATACGTAACGTCGGTTTAACTGAGCGTTGTATATGATACCGTAAACAGTTTTTGGCTCTCACCTGACAAAACCCAGCAGCTCCACCAGCGATCATCTCTTTGCTCAAGGGAAGGGTGTGTCTGAGATGTCAGTAGAGAAAAAGGATTGGACCAGCAAGACGGTGTAACAGCACTGGATTTGGAATTGTTTACTGGATTGCCGCAAATTGGACTACACTTTTCAAAAATAGATTGCTAAGGGTGACAAACACTCAAGAGGCAAGGATATTCTGAAAGGGTACACGTCGCTCTATCGAAAGGGCTAACGCTCGAAACCTCAGCTTAGGGACTCTTTACGGTGGCCAATTTACATGAAAAACTCGGCCAAAATTGTTACATGGGTAGGAAACGATGGAAAAGATTAATTAAAACGGATTGGAGAGCGAAATCTACTCGATTTACTCTTAACCCAGGCCTGTTTTTCAGATTTATCTTCAGAACTTCGATCATCGAACGATTTCCTCAAAACCTAAGAACACTATTAAGTTTATTTTTAGACTCGGGCCGGGGCAGTACCTTCTTCCACCATACATCTGTCTTAGCTGGTCGTTTACAGCAAGTTTCAATGCCTTTTCTGGGTTTATGAGTAACAAATTTACCCCCATGCCTGGATGGAATAAAAAAAATTTCAAAACGGGGTTTGATGGTTGAACTAGTGCCACAACTGAATGTTATTAAAAGTATTACAATCATCTTTAGACCTCCATATCTTCTAAGATCTTAAAACGTAAACTCCCTGACCTCTGCGCAACTGAGGGAGAAAATAGTATACCACTGGTGCGGTGGTATCTGAATACAGCACCCACAGTCACAATTTGGAACACAAAAATACGTAAAGTGATTGTGATGTTTCCTCGGTCAGAACTAACCTTTGTATAAACCTCTTACGCCCTCTGCTCTTGCCACTTTCCATAAACAGTCCGCTCTAGAGAAAAAATAATCGAAGGTAAATCTTGCCGCTTTTTAGAAGAGGACAAAAACCATCGCCGAATGCAAACTGCCCCAAAAACATAAACGAGTCGTAGGAATGCCGCAAAAAAGAAAAGACCCGCAGAGTAAATATCTTATTGTTCTCGCTATTTTGTAGCAGAAAAAAACTCATATCATATAAACATCAGCGATCACATAAAAGGATTTTGTTGCCTAGGGGCCGTGCAACGACTTAGAATCGATGTCACAGTTGAACTCGAGGTGAATTTTACAACAGACGGTTATTAGTACTGTAGAAAAACACTCCGTTGAGCAATGCTGATTAATGAGTTTATCTTCAAATTCGAAGTAGAAATCATCATGCAACTTACAGGTTTTTGTAGTGCTTTTGAGCCCCATGATGCCTTTGATCCTGTAATCTTGTTTTACACAAATCCAAAGGGAAGGTACACGAAACACCGACCACTCCAGCAATAGCTCCATTCATAAGTTTGGCTAAAAAGCTACGCAAAAAACAAAACAAAACAAAACAAAACAAAACAAAAGAACGCAAAACAAAACTTTTACTTGTTTACAGCGCCATGTTGTTTCAGTGTACTTTCGCACAATTTATTTTACAGACAAGTTGCACAATTATATATGACATGATCAAATAAAATTGAAAAGAGGCTGTATGAACATAACATCAAAATGCCGATAAAAAAGTTGCTATTTTCTGAACAAATGCTCTGATAACCTCTTTGAACAAAGTGAATTACGCACGAAGTCACCAGTTTGCTTGTTAATTAGTTATACGATTCAGCAGGAGCGGGCTAACCTAATTAACACTTCATACACTTTCACACAAAATTTTTGTTTGGTTTCAAATTAAGTTTACTGGAGATTTCTTTTCCTATTGATAAAATTTTAATGAACTGTGCACAAAAAGCCGAGCCATGAATGAGCTTGTTGTCAAGAATCGAATTTATCAAATCTTGTTTACAAAAATAAAGAAAACTTTTTTGTGACTTTTCATACGTACACCAGTTGGGAATTTTTTTTCGGTTGCAGGTATAAAAACTGAAGGCGTATATATGATGTTGAGTCTGTTGTAGAATCTTAGTTCCGACTAATTCTGATTCTATTACACAGCTAAACCGATATGCTTATCCTCAAATTTCAGTTACCACTCAGTTTCTCTTTTTAGCATAAAACCACTTGCTTGAGCTCGGGACTATTTTGACATGCGAGTTTTCTTGATCTTTCGAACTAAGTACACTTTGACAAGATGAATAATTAATTATCTATGTCAGTTTTTGGCTAAGTAAGTAATTCTGCCGAAACAGAAAATCAAGATGAGACAAGGAGATGTCGATGAAAACAAATCAGGCAAAACGCATTCGTCGTTTTGACATTTCTGTATTGATTTCTGTGTAAAATTCGGCTGACTTAAAAAGTAGCTCGAAACAGTCAAATTTGTTGTTTATACAAACTCAGAGATTTAAAAATGCATGGCTTTTATTTTTTTTCCGTAGTATAGATCTGGTTTGGTTAAAAAAAACCTAAATTTTTTCGCGGAGTTCGTCGTTAAATCGAATTACCGAGATTTCATGCATTTACTTTCAAGTGAAGAATGCTGGTCGTCTATTTTGCTTGCAGACAGAGGAAAAAATCAAATTCGTTACTAAAATTGCAACTTCAAAGCTTACCTGTGTTGATTTTCCATATAATAGGATCAAACTTTGGGGCTGTGGACTGCGGAAGGTTGGCTTCGAGCAGCAATGATGGTAGCTACCACGACTTCAGCTTGCTTCGGTCTAGCAGCGCCGTCCTTCGCGCCGCGGTTGTTTTTGCACAGCCCAATGAGATTGCTTCAAAGAACTTGTGACGCCAAATTGGACCAATTAGAAGATGCGTTAGGTTCTGCTTCACTTTCTTAGCTGGATGGTCGAAGAACCAAACCAAAAAAACAGCAAAACTAGTAAAAAAAACCTCGCGGAAACTTAAGCTTGATACAACAAGTACGGAAGAATATTGTTTGTGGCTAACTTCCATGTTTTTCAAAATTTTTCTTTTCCAGTTTTGTACTTCCTGTCGGATTACTTACTCGATCTAACTGACTTTTTTCCAAGAAGAATTCGTTCGAATTCGGGACAAAGAGTTGCAAAAACAAAAGGATCAGGTGTAAGTGCAATTGGTTTCATGTGACTTTTGTAGAAAAATAGGGAATTTAAGCAAACCACGACGGCGACGGCAACGAGAACTTGGAAAAACAATAGATCAGTCTAATTGGCAGAACAATAGCCCAGGACGTAAGTTTTAAAACTTTGATACATTTCTTAGCCGTCGTTTGCAAAACAACAATAACGTGAAATCACCAAAATTTGCGTCGTCTGCGAACGGAAACCGCGGTGGCAAATTATTTTAATTTACATTTGGAACTCAACGCTACTTTTATGCGTTATGTTGAGTTTGAGGTCTGGCGCCCTATCAGACAGTAAACACATGCAGCCATTTTTGAAATTCTAACTAAAAGTAGAAACTCAATTAATAATCGACGTCTTCGGTGGCGTTGCCGTCGTAACTGCCTAAGTTCCCTATTGTTGGCATCGTCTGGAAAAGACATGCGCAAACTATGTATTCCATCAGCGGTGGAACAAAACTTTTGCAGTGAAGCTCGAGGTGGGGCTGGTTTGTCGAAAAGGGACTGACGGTGACATGTCGAACAAGCGGGATCCCCGACCACACCCTCGTCATTTCCAATTCCAGAGGTTTGTCACCTAGAATAAAACCCGCGACAATTCTATTTTCACTCATTCCAGGTTTTCATGGAAGATATTGAAACTAAGCCAGTCACGCAAAAGTTAAAACTGAACATGGTCGACCTGTCAAATTTGATATAGATATGCAATCCATGTTTACGATATTTATGAAGACTAAACAAATTTACGACGGCGTATAAAAAGAGAAACGAATGATAAAGTTGCGGTTTTTTGAGGCTTAACGGCTATCGACCATGATACGTTTGCAACCAATAGATATTGTCTATGGACAAATGCAAAATAGTGGTTTACAAATTGTCAATGTTTTTGATCTAGGAAATTTGGCAACCGAACGGGACACAGTTAATTATTACGACTGTGATGGAAATAAAATTACAGGCGGCATCTGGCAAGAAACATACCAAATTGCAAAACATAACATTCCACCTTGGTTCACAACTTTACAAAAACAATGAAATAATTTGTTCTCGTCTGCATAATTATTTAGACCAGTGTGTTTCACATCATGAAGAAGTGAAGTCACTTTCCCAAAATGGCAACTTAAAAGAGCATGTTTTTACCAAACAGACATTACCCGGCAAAGAAGAACATCAAGAATCGTGACCTCAGGAGTAATTGAAAGATCACTGACTTACTTTACCTCTTCGTTCAGAATCGTCGAGTGTACCGGCCTTGAATAATGAGATAAAACTCTTTGATACGAATGGAGGCCGGAGCGATTTCGTACCTGAGATGCGTGTTCGGTTGACTGTGAAAATTAGAACGGACTGGCTGTGGAAAAAAAGCTAGTCGACATAGCGTTGTTTAAAATTTAATTAGCTTCAGGGCCTGGTCGTTCAGTTGTTTTTAATGATTTATTAAAATCCTTCAACTAATATTTAGCTTTAACTGCTTGCTGCTTAAGGGCTGATGCAGATTTTAGAATGCATCGCAAAAACTGTTGTTACCGTGCGGTTTCTTCACTAGTTTTCCCTTAGCATTTGGATCAATTATAGCTCCTGGTGAGTTAGAAGTCATAAAAATTGTCCAAAAAGAAAATAATGACACGGGGACCACACCCAAACAGGTCATGTCAATGAAATTAAATCTTTTGACTCTCAAGATGAGCTGCATAAGACTGCTTGCACGGCAGGTGAATTTATTTCTTAGCGGTAAAATGCATTTATACGCACACTGTAAAATGATCTGCACTTGTACTGAGTGAGAAACAGAATACACGTGCAGCAAAAATGGTGCAAAGTTCTCATCTTAAATACTTGTATCGCTTACTGATCAGTAAGAATAATGTACAACGATAACCGCGTGCTAAGGGACGATAAGGATTCTTTTAACACTAGGACAGTACAGCATTAAATTCACACGTACAGCTGTAGCTCGAAAAGTTACGAAAAATATCGTTGGCAGTTTTTGTTGACCTTTAAAGTGATAAGTTATGTCTAATGCGTAATTTTGTAAACTACAACTGTATCGTCTTCTTTTTTTTCGTTGCCGTTTTGTTATCGGGCTGATTATGTCATGGTACTATCAAAGACGATTAGTGGAAAATTCACTCGCTTTCTCCAACCTTTCCCCGCCAGTTACAACAGGACGAAAGTCGTTAGTCTACTTGTAGGACAGGTGGCCGTTCTATGTCCATTTCTTTATGACTGGCTTCTTTGTCAAAACCCTTAATCGATAAACTGGCCAGCGTTTCTCAACTAACTTTTAATCGATGAGGGTATCGCCATTGAACCCTTTTCTCCAAAGAAAAAAATTGACCAGTTCTTTCCAACACTTTGTTCGACGACGTAACAACAACTTTTGTAACGAAAACTTGAATAGTTCGCCCGAGTCCGAAAACCTAACGGGAGCAACATGGTGGCCTTAATCAAGAAAGCACCGCAACCGTCGAAAAAAAGTCTTAGCTGCAACAGGCGTTTATACATATCAAAAGCAAACGGTACATAAGAACTCAAGCGGGTAAAAGTGTTAAAGTAAATTGGAGTGCAAGTTGTGTCATGTGACACAAAGGCCAACCCGTCGCACCAACCTGCTGCAGGTCTCATGCCCCAAACGGAAAGGGGCATTTATATCGACGATATTATTCATTACTTCCAGGTCTAAACAGAGTATAACGTTACTGATTATATTACTGCATACAGGGTGATGTTCTGGAAAAACAAGACAGGTTGGGAAATTTGATGTAAAGTGCCTCACTCTGGCAGACGATAATTGTTGCCCTAGTAACGCACTGCAATTATTTTACTGTTTTCCCCTTTTCATCAGTTTCCATTGCTTATTTACCCTAAACTTTAACTGGCAATTTCCCTGTGGTTCATTTAATGTTTTTCTCTTTGGACCTTTTCGCTTTCAGATTGCATACTCTTCAAAATATCCTCCTGTTTATTTTGGAAAGATTTCCGTACAAGCCCATACCAATCAGAAACAAAGCCGTAATCCCAAAGGTAATCTGTTGTTTTGCCTCTGCTTTCTTTTAACCAAGAATTGTATGCATAATGAAGTATGGCGTTATACGGAAATCGGAAATCTTGCCTTTGTTTTTTCTTCACTTACAAAAAGTTTGTACATCGAATCGATTGGCTCCCCCAAATAAACTATCGTTGTTGTATCGCGATGAAATTGAGTCAACCGCCTAACCAACCGCTTCACCAATTGGTTAAGCGCCGGACTGTTGTGCGGGAGGTCGAGGGTTCGAGCCCCGGCCGGACCAACACTCAGGGTCTTAAAATAATTGAGAAAAATATGCTACCTTTCTATAACATCGATCAAGAAATGGTTAGATATTCTAGTCTTCTCGGATAGGGACGAATAAATGGAGGTCCCGTCTCCTGCATCTATTAATTAGTTAATTTGGTTAGGCAGGGGACGTTAAAGAACCCACTTCACGAGATTACTGTGATGTGGTCTGGCCTGGTTACTGGGAATCAGTGGGGGAGGGGGCATCTGTTTTACTCGCTTTCATTTGATTGTAAACTGCTTAGCAGTCTGGAAAAGTCCCCCGTACAGTGTTGTAAAGCGCCATGAGTTCAAGATATGAGCGCTATATAAATACAAGTTATTATTATTATTATTATTATTATTATTATTAAATGAAAAACAGCGACGGCTTAGAGTAACAATGAAGTGAAAAAATTGGTTTGAATGCCATCACAACTTATAAGTTACCGGTACATTAAATGAAACTGCTGAAAGTCTTCTAGAGAAATAACTGACTAACAATTACATTAAAGCTGGTAACATGCCACACTACCATTTAATCAAATTAAATGACTGATTGAAGAAAGATAAAAAAAAAGATGGGAATTACCAGTATATGTTTGTGAGTGTGCATCTGTTTTCAGGAGGGGGTGGTATTAGGCAACTGACTTGAACTAATAACTACTACACCAAGTAAAAAACTAGACAATACCTTTGTTTTGATTAGACAATAAAATACAAATTTGTGATGTTCTCCAGCAACTTTATCTCAAAAGCTCTTGCAAAAAATAGCAATGTACGAGTTAAAGTCCCAGATAGAAAAATGTGTGATCCTCCTGCGGGATGCTATGGCACTAATGACATTGCCAGATATTCAGCTAAATAAATTTCACCAAATAAACAGTGGATCCTCACGGACTAATGGCTAAAAATGCATCCTAGATGTCATCATTTCACCACCTCCAACAACATCTCCTAAGTTTACCTCTCTGGAATCCAGCTGAGCTATTGTTGAATTCAAAAGCTATGAGCTACTGTTTAAGATAATGTACTTTAATTTGAAACAAGTAAATATCATTCAGCAAAGAGAAAATCAACTCTGACTTAACACTTCAACTAAAAAAAAAAAAATTAAGTGAGCAACAGAGTTCACATTCTCACTGTACATTTCATTTGTGGACAGATTACGTTTCCAAGCAAGTGATCTCTTGCTTGGTAGAGTAGCTTTGACTATCAGGTCGAGACTCCTCTTCACCCACATGCTCCATTTGCTGATTGACTGCCCCACTTAGTGGCCTTTTGAATTCACAAATGGGGCCTGTATATGGAAACAGATACAAAATAATGTTAAAATTGCATTAGTTAAAAGAAAGGCAGCATCAGGCAGAAAAGTTCCTGTATTGAACTGGAAAAAAAAAAGAGACTGGTCTTGCTGATGAGTAAAAATTGATAATAAGATTTAGTTAGAATCTATTTGAACCTTGGCTAAGCAATCAAACTTAAGGGACTTTCTGATTTGAGGATAGAGGTTTTCATAACTCATGCACCTTACATTTAGCTCTTGTGCTTTATTTCTGACAATATTGTAAACATTGAAAATTATTTTTTGAGTAGGTGTCTGAAGGTAACTTAAAGAAAACGTAGAGGCCACCACTATAATATTGACATTGACGGAGAACGCCAAAAGATGTGGCAATGGCAATGCTTGTAAAAACAAAAATATTGCAGTGAGGTTGAACTTACAATTCCACCAGCCTGTTGCATGGGACGGCGGAATGAACGACCCAAATATTGCTCAAAATAGCTCTTCACTGTACTACAAGTATCAGATGTAAGTAAGCACACTTTTTTGCCCACATAATATGCAAATATTAAGTTGGTCCAGTTCCTGTCTCTACCAATCATGTTATCAATTTCTCTACTAAGTCTGTCGTAAGTTAGATCACCAGCATTACTCAAGACATATGAAACCAAGTGTGTCTGAACTCCCTGCAAAGAAAAAAAACAACAACAAAATAAATGGTGAGAAAATTTAATTTTTGTTCTCATGCAAATTAGTTTTATGATTCTGATTTTGATATCAAAACAGATCTTCATTCAACCTTTTACTCCAACATTCAAAGTTTTCCTTTCAGCTGTCACTAAGTTTCACAGATTTTTCAGCAATTATCATTTACCCTGTGAAAATTACATCAAGAGTAGAGAACAGTGATATTTCCACTGTACAAGTAATGTCAATCCATACCAATGACTAAAACCTTAGAGCGACCAGTATCTAATTTCTCTTCACTGTAATCGTTACGGTGGCCAATTTACCATTTCAACTTTGTTGATATATCCAAATTATTTTGTTACCCCCACCAACGCAGCCCTAAACAGTTTCTTTCGAAACTATCAGCCTTTATTCATTTGTAATATATACTGTAGAATTAAGCATCAAGGTTGTGAGAATAAAGAAAAAAGATCACCACCTTCAGAAGCTTTGTCAGTGCCAAAGGAAACATATGGAGGAACGTATAGAGAATACAGATACTGATGTCAGGGTGCAAAGGCTATGCATGAGTGACAAAACAACAAATAAATAAACTACTAAACTTGGTTTTTGCATGACATTTAAAAACAATATCATTCTCCAAGAATCTCAATTTTTTCAATGTTGGTCTCTTTGAAACAATCCTTTCCCTTTTATTTTAGGCCACCCTAAAATGAGCCTATGGTATTTTGGCACAGTAATACACTTGATTCTGGAAATACCATTATCTCTACAATAACATCTGACTACTGACTAACTTAAAATAGTTTCCACTTCCTATTCCTAAGCAAAAAGGTTACAAGTACACAATCATTTGATAAAATACAACTCAAATCAACTCAATCAGGACATACCAAATTATTGTTAGGATTAAAATCTGAATGCTGATTAACTCTAGTTCCACACAGTTCCCACTCCCAATTCCAAAGCTAAAAGTTACAAGTACACAATCATTTATAATAAAATACAACTCACATCAACACGATCACCATATTGTTGATAAAGTGCATCACCAGCTTGTTGCATCTGATGTGCAAGTCTTGTCAGTTCAGGGTTTTGAGTTGGAACAGGCTCAGGTTGAGGTAAAACTACATTGCTGGAACTTTTTTCAGCACCTTCACTGTCTGTTACTAAGTCATCTTCATCTGCTTCATCACATTCACAAGGACCTGAAAAGGTTAAGCGATAAAATGAAAACTCTTTCAATTGTAACATCTAATGTGAAATTTCCCCTTATATCTACTAAAACTCTCCTTAAAAATTTAATCACAATAAGAGAATAAGTGTGCTATCAAGATAATATCTTCTGACATGTGTGTTCACTGGCATGTTTGTCCACTTGCATCAGCTGTTTACCAGATGAAGGTCTGAAATAATATTCTGGAGAGGGATACATGTAAACCACTTCTAGGTGTTGCAGGGTCAACCAAACTGTCTGTAGCTACCACACTGTGAAATTTAGTTTTACATAAAGTGCAATTTGCTCACTTCAGATTAAAAAAGACTCCAACATTTGTTTTACTCAGAGATGTGCCTATGTCTATGAGTAATAATGATGCACTAATAATACTACAATTCATGTAATACTACAAATCAGGGGTGTTTTCTATCATCTTTTACTGTTCAGTCATATTTTACTTTAGTGAAGGCAGTGACGCACTTGGAGATTTTACTCTCTGATCACCAAGAATTTGAACAGCATCAAATATCACCAATATCTGACATGCCAGATTTTGCCAATTATATATTACCTATTGAGACAACCAGTGAAAATCACAACCAAGCATACCTAGCAATTTTTGCTGATTGCTAATGTGTCACTGCTTTAAACACTTTTAAACACTTGTCTTAAACAAGTCATAGTGTTTTAATGTTATAAGAAACGATCCTAGGAAGCTGTCCTTTTATTTTTCAAAGCAAAATTTTTTAAATATGAATTTGTTAGGCAGTAAAGATCACCAATATCTGACAAACCAAATATTGCTGATTTTATATGCTGATTAAAGCAATCAGTGAAAATCACTTAATTTGGATATATCAACATAGTTGAAATGGTAAATTGGCCACTGTAACGATTACAAAAGCTGACGTTTCGAGCGTTAGCCCTTCGTCGGAGCAAATAGTGAAAATCGCAGCCAAGCATACCTGGCAATTTTTGCCTATCACTGCAATCCCCATCCAAAATTGACAAGAATGTCACCACTTTAAGCACTTTCAGTCCTAGCTTTCATTTTTGAAAGCCAATTTTTTTTGTCAAACAAATCTGATTGGCAGCAAAAATTACCAACATCTGACATGCCTGATGTCATGGTTCTTGCCAATTGCAACAATTAGTGTATATAGAAGTTTGTTGCCGCTGTAAGCTATTTTAGCCCTTCTCCTGAACATGTCCTAGTCGTTTGCTAGGGGAAAAATCTTGGAAAGGTGTGCTTTCATATTTTTTAATATTAGGGCCAACTGGAGTTTTCTGGAGGTTTTAACTTATCTTAAACAAAGGCCACCACTTTAAATAGGTGGTTAAAAATCTTAAATGCATTTGAACTAAATTGAAACCTTCTAATCTACAAGTAGTCTGATGTGGCAATTGGCAAATACAATAAGTCATAATGTATGCATATTGTACACAGAACTAAACAATAGTTCTTACAGGACCATATTAAGTCGCGTAAACCTACCCAGTTCAAGGAGAGAACAATAACCAATTTCTACATACAACATAAATATAAGGTGAAGCACAAAGGTAGTGAGGATTTAAATGACAATATGAGCTTAATGACATTGGGAATTCATGCAGAGATCATGCAATTCAGCATTTTGGCAAAACTTCCTTGTTTTCCTAGAAACATTATTTTTAGAACAGGGAAAAATTTTTCTGCCTGACTTTATATTTAGAAGAGTAATTGGTTTACCTTCCTCATTCCTGGTGTTCCATTGAAATACAGCCAAACTATATTGGTTCTTTAACAAAACGATTTTTCACTAGATTCTTTAGAGCATATGCAAGATTCACAGAAAAGGAGGTACATGCTGATACCTTATTAACATTCCCTGTTCTTTCAACAAACAAATCTGTTACATTCTCTCAAAGAATTGAACTCTAGGGCTAGAAATTACGTGATACCAGCCTAACCAAATATTAGAGATTATGGGATCTAAGTTTGAGTAGATGCCCTGCAATCACGAACCGGTCAAACAAAGCACATATCATGCACTGCCATCAGTTCGAGTTTTATGCACTATGCACATGCACAGAAGATCATTAGTTACAAAATATAAATGTACCGGTCTTCAATTCAAAGGATAATGAAGAAAGAGGATATTAGACTTGGACATGCAGAAACAGTAGTAGTAGTAGTAGAATCTTTATTTATACACGATAAGAATTAAAGCTAAAAAGCTTGTGGGGTCGTGCACTTAACAAAATAGTATCTAGTCAACTTATGATTATACTAAGACACATTTAAAACTAAATAAGAAACTATAATTGCCAATTGCCACAATTAGTGTATATAAACTAAATAAGAAACACAGACATATTGACTGTCACCACCACGGGAAAGACGCAAGTTCTCTAAAAAACTTCCTTTGCTACGACAGGATTACAGACTATTGGTCATGCTGAGCGAACCACGAGTGACTGACGCCAATTGCAAGAGGCTGAAGGGGGCCGTTAACACGAAAACAATCGCGCCATGTAAATTGTGCAAATATCTACAGAACTTGACAAAAGTGCTAATCATTCTACTAAGCATGATTCAATCGAGTCCTATCTAGAGTAGAAGCAAATAAATTCGATATCTAGGGCAAGACTTTTGAAAACAATTAGTAAATTACCTCGAGACTGTTTGTAATTGTAATGGCCCGTTTCCTCTTGGATGATCGGAGAATCCGCTGCTTCTTTGGATGATTTTTTAAGCATTGACTTGGTATTTGATGAGTGAGGCAGTCTTAAAAATTCCTCGAAAAGCAAGCACGCTTGTTTCTCGATATCCTCTAAACTCTCTTCACAGCTTTCCACAGGAGTTCGCTGAGATTTCAGATCAAAATAAGGCATGCCCTCTGCCATAACGAATACGCAGTTATGTCCTCACTAAGGTTCGACTGAATCTGTTCAAGTACTGCTGGTAAAAGGAGTTTTATAGGCCTCTTTGAAAAACAGGAAATTCGATCTTCCTCACAAATTTAAGTTTCCCGGAAAACTTTACGTGTTTGGTATTTCCCCCGTCAATTCGTCATTTTGTAAGCATCGCACTTGCCTCGTCACGTTTATTCTGACTATCTGACCCAGTCTTTACCGAGAGCTCATCTTCGTAAGTTCACGAAATGATTCGATATTATTTACACTAATGATCTTTGATAATAATTACTTGTCGTTTTGCTTACTTTTTCAAATTTACTTATACACAGTTTCCTCTCTGTTCGAGGCTTAGAGCTATTATCTAAATACTTTTAGCTGTTTATGTCGCTATTTAGCAGTTTGGCTACGGTGTCGAAGATATCACAGAACTCTAGCTAAGTGGGCAAACCCTTATTTTGTTGATATATCCACCTTATTTCCATCGTTCGCTTCCATTTTCTACCCCTTCCCATTTCAATGGGAATAGCTCAGGCTCTCAAGAAAAGTTCACCTTCCTTCCCCTAAATCAAACCCACCATAAACATGTCTCGTCCAAATGATGAAAGTCACGTGGTATTGCTTTGGCAAGTCATTTATTTGCTTTGGGAGAAGAGAAAAGTTTAAACTTAAATTTTTATCCACGTTTCTATAGGCCTTGACTCTGTTTGTTGACTTTACTAGCTATTTCAACCGAATGAAACGCCCACCACTCCACTTCCGTAATGAATGAACCAAGTAAAACGGGGTGTGCCCATATCCCCCATGACTATGATCATGACCTAACTGCTAGCTGCTCTTTATTGTTCCAGATGAAACCAAATTAAAAGGGCTCCTTCATGTAAGTTCCCCGCTGTTTATCCTCTTGAGGTAAATGTTCTGAGACTGAGTATTGCACAGGTCATGAAAAAGCGCGATATTGCTTCACGAGTCAGTCTTTAACGTCCTTTAACGCAATTTAACGGAAGTAGTTCACTGCGAACGTCACGCACACACTGCCCCACGCGCAGCTCGGCCGCGAGGAATTGTGCCGAGTTCCCTGTCGGGTACAGTTTACAAATATTTTCTAGACACATCGTACTGCTACCGAAACGATCACACATTGAGTACTTCTTCTATATCATCATCATGGAGCAAGACCCGGTAGAACAAACATACATTTTACAAGGAACACCTGAGGTTACTACAGATACAGATTCTGACAAAGAAATGGAGAACAGTGGCCCCCAAAAATCAAACATTGATCGTTGGGCTTCACTCGAACGAATCCGGGAAGAAACTCGTATTGTAGTATTAGACTATCTAGGTTCGTTACCAGCAGATAGGCTGACTGCTAGGAACTTTACAAATTCTGAGAACAGGGTACCATGTCTTAAAAGAGCGATAAGTGGCCTATCCAAGAGTGCCAGCGATGCTGGCGCTTACGAATCCAAGAGAAAAAAATTTTTGGAAATGGCAAGATTACAGCGAAAGTTATCTTTGAACTTGAAGAGAGACATTGAAACATTTGACCATAACAAACTCCGAGCAAGAGCAGAAAAGAAAGTGTAAGTTATCCGTTTTGTTTTTATGTTTTAATGATAAGTCTATAAAGCAGTATTTTTCATTTTAAAAACTGTCTGCAGCTGTTTTTTAACTTGACGTTTTTGGGGTTCAAATGTTTCCTGGTTAGACTCGACGATTTCTAGTCACTGATAGTCCTTGGGCTTTTAAATACAACTAGAGCAGCTCTAGTTATCAACCAAGAAAGGGATAAATACACGTATTTTTGGAACTTCGATCGTGGCGTATACATGTATTTTATATGCAGCAGACTCCACAAAATCGCACAATTCGTGTTTTCAAAGAGGTCGATAGGGCTCTCAGCTATCGTACGAAATTTCAAGAAGAGTAAGAATATTATTAAGCCCACTGAATCTTGCACTGCATATTTAGAGGGAAATGGTTTTTCATTTGTGTAGGATTGTGATTTTCAAACTACCTCTTTGCAAATCAATCGAGCCGGCATTTAATTAATAGCTCAGAACTATGGCAAGATTTCATTATGCATACAATTCTTGGATAAAACTGGAAAACAGGGGCAAAACAACAGATTATCTTTGGGACTTCGGCTTTGTTTTTGATTGGTATGGGGTTATACGGAAATCTGTCCATTGCTTTTTCTGACGTTTTTTCAAAGAGCGTATCCTACGTGCCGCCTCCAAGGGTGATGATTAATAGGGTTGTGGACTTTGTGGTTTGAAAATGTCTGGTAATTAATAGATAACTTACTTACAATGTGAAGTGAGTTAGTCACCTTGGGATTTACGTCTTAACATGCAAGTCACAAGATATGGATTTGTAAGATTCTAAAATTTATTTATTCCACATTTTGGTGACGATTAGCCTTTCCTCAGTTGCTGGGAGATTCGAAAGGTTTACATGAAATAAAAAGCCATGCATGGCTGAGAAAATGATAAAAAATTAATACTCTAAAGCTCTATCAATCCCTCAGAAGGCAATTTTTTTGCCATCTAGGTATCTTTACAAAGAATGGGTGCAATTGTTCAGTGTCATTTACTGGTTAGTAACCATAACCCTTGGTCAGAGATTGGATTGTGTATCCACCATATTGAATGAAGAGTTTTAATGTATACTATACACATAGCAACAGAAAAACAACTTGCAATTTGTTAATTTTTCCACAGTTGAATTCAATTTACCTGAAATTTCAAAATTGTTGGAAAGTTGGGAGGGTATGAATGGGAGTCCAGCCAGAGTCACATTCTCTCATATGGCGTGCACATACATGATTGTCTCCCCCACTTCCTCTACTCTTGCTGGGGGTTTTGCATTCAAGCTATTAACTTCTACTGTGTCAGATGTAATGGCCAACCTTATTTGTCTATTATGAATTGATATTTTTATCCTTTATTTTGCAACTGAACATGGGAACAACAGCTTTTTAAAATTATTAGAACCTCATATGGAAATAATTTGGAATTGTATAACAATCCTTCTGTAACCTTACAGAAATAGATCTTTCTGTTGAGCGTTATCATTCTTTTGTAAATTGGCTTGCATAATAACAAATTAAACCATAATTTCAATAAACGGTGACATGTATATTAAGAGCCACTGACCATGAATGTAGAGAATCAGCCAACAGTTGCAAAATCTCATTAATTCATTTTATTTTTCAGTAAGGACCCTTTTGATGAACCTTTTTCAAAATATTATTTAAAAGTTGTATGGCCCTTTGCTTTGGCCAAAAAATCACAAAATGCAAAATATACCCAGATTGCTATAATTTGTTTCCCCCATAAAACAATGAAAAATTGTGCAACCTCAGCAACTTTGTACCCCACAAGGCAAAACCTTTTTTTAAATTTTTTGTGCTAGCAGATGGTCCAGATCGCATTGTATTTTTGGCCATTTTAGCCCAGACTCTCTTCAAGCTGGATGTGCTGCCTATGGCAGGCCAGGAAAGAAACTTTGAGGAAGTAAACTGCAAGGATAAAAGTTAAAGATGATGTATATTTTGATTGGTAAATACATATAATACCAGATCATTTTTTACAGGCCTTTAAATAGGCCATGACAGCTGTTAAGTGGTTTGCATTGCATTTTTGTCGTAATTGTCCACACTCTTTTCAACCTGGACTGGTTACCTATGACGAGCCAAGATAGAGAATCTCTTCTGCTTTCTTCTTGAAGCCTGTCTTGCAGACCAACTGACTTCCTAAGACTTGATAGTGTTTCGAAGGTCATTGGCTCAATAACAAAAAATATAAGTGTTCTTAGTTTGCTTTTAGCTACATAAGACGTGCCAGGAGATTTTTCAGTTTTACTAATGTAACAACTTACAGGAAAAACACTGGGAATAATAATTATCTGGCTAAGCTGCAAGCTGATTATTCACAACTTTATACTTTGTGGCAAAGGTAATAAAATTGAAAGTCATTATATCAGGGACGATTTCAGAATACTTGGCATGTTTAGCATAAATGCCTGACTAGTTTTAGAGTTTTAGTGACATGAGAGATGGACTGCACAGTCTCTTGTGCTGAAGAGTCTCTTTCTCTAAGGGACTTCAAAATTACTTTTGTTGCTTGCTGCAATGACATGTAAATCTGGTCTTTCTTTCACCAAAAAACTTAAGTCAAATGAGACACTTTAAATAGACACAAGGGGATTTAATGGGGCTTTTTCTCATTGAATTCCTTTGGTTTCTCTTGTGCAATTTACACTACAGATGTCCAAATTGAAAGGACTTGAAAAGACTTAACAAAAGCATGTTAGTAGTAGAACTGAAAACTTCTGTGATGAAGCAATACAACAGTGATAGAAACTCTGACAACTGTAATACAAGCTGTACCAAAATACATTGGGGTCATTGAGAGCAAAACTATGAAAAAGTGATTTTCCTCCAGAGCTATTTTCCACGTGTGTTAGTCATGTAAGCAATAATATAATTACTCCTGGTGGGGAATATCCTTCTACTGAATAACAATGAGTGAATAAATGTGAAAAAAATTAATCTTAATGTTTATTATATCATTCAGGCTATTCCACATCTTGGCTCAACCTTTTGTAACTGTACAAAAAAATCCATAGAGAGAATTCAGGTATTAAATGAATGAAACTTTCATCAAATGAATTAATTTAATTGCAGACAAATACCTCAGGTTTTGGTGAAGGATTGAAATTAAATACAAATGGTTTTTAGGCAACATGTCAACCCATGACACATTCATTTGGAAACCAATATTTTGCTGGCAACCAAAGTGTTTGAGAGAGAGAAAAGAGGAGATTAATAAGTTATTTATTGGCTTGAGGTCTTGACTGAAGTCTTTACTTGATATACTGCCCAGCCGGGAAAACGAAATACGTTTATGAAAAATGGCAACAAAGGTACAGACTGAATGATGTAGTTGGCGACTCATGAAAGTGTTACAATGCTGGTGGGCAGAGATGGAAATTAAAATATATGCTGTGCCAAGAACCAATCAGATTGCAGGATTCCTTATTGTGCCCTCTGAGAAAAAAGTAATAAGTTATAAGAAATGTATCATGAAACTACATAAATTTTTGTGTTAATTACAACACCTGCAGCGTGATTTATATTTGTTGACTTTAAAGAAGAACACATAGTTTGGATATATAGTGTCACTGTTATACCAAAAGCACAAATTCTTGATCCAATTTCTCCCAATCTGCCCAATGGAGGAGTCTTCTCCAAATGAGTATGTGTGTTAAGGCGAGCCTGATATAATGAAAGCAAGGCCACAGCCCCTGAAGAAATCTTTACAGAGTTTGCCTGTATTACACAAGAAACCCAACCCGTGCCAAGGACACCAACACAAAATAAGGATGCATTCCCCATTCAGTCAAATACAATTAGCTTTTATCAACTGAAGTTATTTTTTTTTTTGTAAAAAAAAAATAAGAATAACCATGTCAGCATATATAGAGTGGTTTGTTACTCACACTAATCAGATTGTGGCATTGGGTTATAGATCTCCAATCAATCAGATCGCAGAATTCAGACAAATATTTGCATTAATTATCTCGCAGATCACAGCATAAGGGTTTGTATCTTGCACCTGCCCAATAAGATCACCACATTGGGATATGCAGGGGAATTTCAGGTCAAGGATAGTACCTGATTGCAGCCAATGGACCAGCCCACTTAAAGGTGGGCTGCAGACAGCCCTTTTTCTAAAGCTCTTGGTTAGGAAGGGTCTTTAGTCTTGTCAGTTAATGTGGTTTGCTTTTTGTTCAGAATTTGTTCTTGTGTCCCCTGTTATGTGATGATTAGGTTTTAGTTTATCCTAATTTGATCTATTTAGAACACAGTTACTTATATTTTGATAACCTAGAAAGCCACAGTCACTGTGGCATGTAGACTCAACTGAAAAAAGATTTTTTTCTGCATCACAAAAACTGGCTCGTCTGACAGTTTAGTTTTTGCCATCCAGATACCACTACACGATATTTAACTTATTCTTCACGAGACCCTGATGATGACAAGTTTAATTTTTTTTTTAAATGGCAATCTGTTCTTTTCTATCAACATCAATTCTTTAATTTCCTACTGAGCAGTTACTAGCCACAAAGTTGTTTTGTTACTCAGAATAAAGGCTGATAGTTTCGAAAGAAACTGTTTGGGGCTGCGTCGGTGGGAGTAACAAAATTATTTGGATATATCAACAAAGTTGAAGTGGTAAATTGGCCACTGTAACGATTACAAAAGCTGATGTTTCGAGCGTTAGCCCTTCGTCGGAGCGAATAGAAGAAATTGTGGGTTGTGTGTGCTTTTAATTTTTAACGTAGCTCCATTCTCTGCCTTTAAAAGCACACACAACCCACAATTCCTCTATTCGCTCCGACGAAGGGCTAATGCTCGAAACATCAGCTTTTGTAATCGTTACGGTGGTCAATTTACCACTTCAACTTTATTGATATATCCAAATTATTTTGTTACTCAGAACATGGGCTCAAAACATTTACTGTATCAACATGAGATATAGACAAGAGTAAGAAGTAATGTTTGTGAATATGTGAAAGTCATATAATTATGGGAACTGCGCTTAAAGAAGTGAAAATGAGAGTGATCTTTACAGTAATGAACACTACTTAAGCAGTAGTGAAAGTAGGTTCTAAAAAAAATTCAGGCTTCTACAGGATTTGAACCCATGACCTCTGCAATACCAGTGCAGTAAGAATTAACATGAATATCTACTTGATGTTTTAATAGGGATTTTTACAAGAGACCAAATGAACTCCAGCTTCCACCACTTTCCTGTAAATCTCGTTTTGATCGTGACCACACTCCTTCACCTGTGTTATCTCCTGAGGGTCGTGTTGCTGCCCGACTGGACAAGATTAGTCAAGAAATTATGGAAATGGTGCCTAATTTATTGGATGAGCCTTTGAAGATGATCCAAGCAGAATCTCTGTCATACGAACAATTTTGTGAAGCTGCAAGACATCTTACCTTTGATCATCACATTGTTGGCTGGTCAAAGGTTGCACTATTGTGCCATTTTGCTCGTGAAATAGCTATGATGGGAGAGCTAGATGACAAGCAGCTTGAGCAGTTAGCGGAACACAGCTTAAGGTTTATTCAAGAGAGTACAGCTGAATGGATAGAAAAGAAGGGAGGATGGGTAAGTACCTAATAAAAAATAAAAAGTAGAACCCCTTTCACTCAAATTCTCAAGGGCTGTAGCTAATTTTTTTGAGGCCCTATAATTTTTCACTACTACATAATTAGGGATCATTACTGCAAAGATCACTTTCATTCAAGGGGAAAAATGGGAATTTTGATAACTGACTTCTTAATACCTAGTGACCAAAGCTCAACTGTAGTTAGTCTTGACCCAGGTTTAACAATCCATCTTATTCTTTGATCCATATATTATGTTATTCTCAGGCTGCCTTTAATGAGGAAGATGAGGATGACGTACATGACATAGAAAGTCTTCTAGAGAAGTATCGTGAAAGAGAAGAAAAAGATGGAAAAGAAGGTCCACAGTCAAAACGAGCAAGTGGTTCAAGGAGCTATAGGAATTCCTGGAACATTTATTTTAAGTATGGTGTTGCTGCAGCAGCTGTAGGAATAGGTGTATGTTATTCACTTCTCAGACAGTAATCAAGGCTAAGGATATCTCTCTATGAATATCTCAAGTCAGTGAAAGGCATTTTTTGGAAGGGTTGACTTCACCAGTCTCAAAGAAATTGAAGACGATAATTCAACTACCTTTTTGTTGTTGACAGGGGGTAATTGTTCATGGCACCATAGCTTAGAAGAGAAACAGAGAAATGAAGGAGTAAGTCCTTCTGCAGCTATGAGTGTGTGTTTTGTGCATACGATATATATATCTTATTAACCAAGCACGAGGGCTGTACTGGGAGAATATTGACCCTAGGTCTTGACTGTACGGACCGAGCGCGGAGATGTCCGTACAAAAAAGACCGAGGGCTGATATTCTTCCAGTACGGTCCCGAGCAAGCTTGGTTAATAAGAGATTTATTATACGACTGAAGTTCAAAGGGATACAAGTGCGGTATCATTCGGGACCATTCGGGACCATTCGGGACAGTGCCCGGTCCAATACTTAGAGAATATTGATCGGCAATAGAGCATTTTGATTGGTTGATTTTAGTTATTGGCCCTCTGACTGCCCGAGTCGTGTAATAATGGTGCATGTAGGTTAGTTTAGACCATGCAATTACCAGTGAAGGAGAAACTTGAAGAGTGGGTTCTTGAGACCCTTTTAATTTGATGAAAGACAATAACTTTACTGTACTTAATTAATTGGGACATTGATGTATTGATGAATAATTAAGAAAAGAGCAATGTTTTACCAAGAAAAAAGTTAATACAATCACAAGAATTCTATGGAAGCTTTCTCGTGGTTTGTTTGTTTTGTAATAAGTATTTCTTAGATAAAGATATAATAAAATACAGACTATGATCATGGATGCTTTTGGTGCCCTTTTGAAGTGGCAATGCTCCACTGTTAAGAAGTAGGGTTGCACTGATTACATGGTGTAAAACTTTAATAATATGTTGTAACTATTCAACCAATGGAATGCAGAACCAGAGAGGTTAACACTCGAAATGTCAGCTTTTTAACTCTTTACAGTGGCCAATTTAATTTTTCAATCTAGTTGATATAACCAAATTACCTTGTTATCCCCACCGACGCAGCACCATAGTTTCTTTCAGGGCTCGACACTAATGGTAGCTCACTAGCCACAGACTTGTAGAAATTCAGTTTTGGCTGGTGGTTTTCAATTTCAATTTGTTTACAGCTTGGCTAGTAAACAAACTGAAATTGTCGTAACAGCTAAAACCATCTAAGATGTCACTAGCCATTCAGGATTTTAAATTGTAAGGGAAGCCCACTGAAAGGCTAGGAGGTAATCCTGCGACAGACTGGCATCTAATCCAGGTGCAGTGATGATATTTGTAGTTACTTCATGCTATTCAAACTGCAGAGATGCCGACCTCTGGAGATCTCAAATCAAAAGATTTTTCTGACGAAGGGCTAACGCTCGAAACTTCAGTTTTTTAACTTGTTACAGTGGCCAATTTACAATTTCAACCTTGTTGATATAACCAAGGGACTTCAATAGGTTGAATACTCATCCAATCAGACTATCGCTTATATAGAAGAATAAAGAAGAGACTCTCCTGTTTGTTTGCAACGAATAACGTGCATCACGGAAGAAAATGAAGCCAGAACCGTAATACAAGCATAAGAAGCCTGATGATTCTGGAATTTTGGAAGATATGGAGCTTAAATCTTAGTTTTTTGTGGGCAACTGACCCACACATCCTTTTATCCGGGAGGTTTGGTCACTCGTGCGGGAGAGCAGGAGATTGGCTCTGTATCCGGGAGACTCCCGGGTGATCAGGGCATATATATATGAAACTAGGATAAGTTTGAGCTCGATGGGCCACTAGGCGAACATAACCTACCTTTTGCTTACCCTCCAAATTTCATATATTTAATGTAAAATATGCTCCACCTTTTGTTAATGTTTTAATTAACAATTGTTATTGTTAAGGAAAGGGTTTGGGGAGAGGCATCCCCATATGGAGATCACAACCAGCTTATCTCAAGGGTATGAAGTATCTTGCATTTTTTACTAGGGCTGGGTTGTTCAAACCAGGGTTAAGATAACCCAGGGTTAGTGTGAAATTTGATTTTAGATCTAAAAGCTTTGGAAGAAAATCCACTTTAATTATGCTCTGAAAATAATAAGAAAACTATCCCAAAAAGGCTTTTGGACAAATAATGAAACCTGGATTAAGTTTTTAAGCTTGGATTAGGGCTTATTAGTCTTCGAACAACTGGGCCCAGGACTAATCGAAACTGTTCTTTGAAATAATAATTATCTAAAGAGAAGGTGAAAGGCAGGAAAGCAAATCACTCACGTGACTTGTACCAGTCCAATTCTCGTGAGGGAAATGGGTACTAAGTTGCAACATCACTGACGCGTGGATAATTCCAGCTGGCAGTAATGGCGGCCGTTTCTCGATCCGAGCAAGAAGAATTTCGGAAAGTTTTGAGTATTATGGGAGACGAAACCACTTGTCCTGTCTGTTTAGAGGAATTTCAAGAACCAAAATGCCTTCCAAGCTGTGCACATAATGTTTGTGAGCGGTGTTTGCAGAACATGGTTCGTAGAAACAGTATTACGATTTCATGTCCTCAATGTCGCGAGGAATCATTTCTTCCTCCCTTAGGGGTGTCTGCTTTCCCCACAAACCATCTTTTGCTGCGTTTGATCGATAATACTCCTGCAAGGAAAGAGAAAAAAGCTGTTGCTGAAGCAATGAAATTTTGTAAAGAGCAGGTCGAGGCAGCAGAAAAAGCAATCAAGGATATGGAAGATTGTTACAATAAGGCGAACGAGCAGAGCCAAGCTAAGCGATGTGAAATCAACAAAATGGCTGATACCCTTATTCAGTTAATAAACGACAAAAGGAAAATTCTGCTTGCTCAGCTTGATGATTTCATGACCGAAAACTACGACACTGACTCCCTTCGAAAAGAGAGGGAAGATGTGAGCGATTTATTTCAAAAAGCGAGAAGCTCCATCCAGCTGGCAAATGAAATTCTTAGAGAAGATGAAATTGGAAGAATTTTAAAGTCCGGAGATGTGCTAGTGGAGCAGTTAAAAGAAATAAGCTCAACTTTGGACACAAGAGCTCTTGAAGCCAGGAAGCTATCTACCCAAGTAGAAATATACTACAATCATATTCAGGTGTTAGAATCACATGAAAAGTGCGTTGAAATGCTTGGGACACTGACAATGTCTGCTACAAAATACATCCATGATGGAGCCAGTGTTGGTTTGATTGACTATGGCAGATGTGGAGAAGTTACACAGACAATTGAAACTAGTTTCTTTGCTTTTGCCATTGCAGTATCCAGTGTATCAGGTGACATTGCAGTGCTTGATGAAGAAGAGAGACATGTTCATGTCTTCTCTTCACAATTAGATTACTTGGCGTCATTTCGCATTAGATATGGTGACTTGTGGGACATAACATTTTCCAAAGATGATGAAATCATAGTCGTGAACCGAGAATGTAATCGCCTACTTCACTACGACAAAGAAGGTACATTTATCAAAAAATATGTCAAAGCACCAAATGAATCTGTGAAGTTTACACGAATTTCAACAGATGGAAGTGGCCGCCTTTTGGTGACCTCGAGTCCAAGAGACTGCTGTGATGAGCCTGAAGATGAAGTGCAATCATGTATTCTGGTTTACAGCCATGATAGAAGATTTCTACTTAGTTTTGGTGAAGACAAACTGGCTTGCCCTCAAGATGTTGCTTGTCACCAAGGGAAGTTTTTTGTGACTGATGGTGATCTTGAATGCATCATGGTCTTTGACAGTAATGGTAAATTTCTCCTTGATTTTGGAAATAGGGATCTCTTAGACCCAGTTGGCATAACTGTTGATGTAATCAACAATGTAATTCTAGTTTGTGATTGTAGTAAAAATTCAATTGTGGCCTTTAAACCAGATGGGGAAGTGATTTCAAGAATTGAAACTGCTGAAGAGCCGGCACATGTTGTACTTTCTGCTTGTGGGACAAGCTTAGTGGTGTGCTTTAATAAAGCCCTTTTTATCCAAATACTTTCTCACTAAAAGAATCAGAAAGCTGCATAAGGAAATTTTAAGTAATGTAGTATAGCCTATATCTGAACCCTTCTGAGATTACTTTTTTTCACACCAAATAAAAGTTATACTTTGAAAAGCATTTTGCCACAAAGAGGGAGTAAGTTGGTAAGACACAAACATGTTTTTGTTTTTTACACGAGAATTTTGAATCTCATTGAAGTATCCATCATTTGTTTGTGTTTTATTTGTCTGAAAAAAAAATTCCTTCATCTTGCAAGGAGAGAAATATAAGACTCTAAGCATCTTCAAGGTAAACAAAGGAAGAAATTGCATCTATTTCCATGTCATATTTAAAGGTTGTCAGGATAACAGGAAGCTGGAAGAAGAGTTAACTGTGAAATATATCTTATTAACCAAGTGCGAGGGCCATACTGGGAGAATATCGGCCTGAGGTCTTGACAGTACGGACCGAGCACAGCGAGGTCCGTACAAAGAAGACCAAGGGCCGATATTCTTCCAGTATGGTCCTGAGCAAGCTTGGTTAATAAGAGATTTATTATATGACTGAAGTTCAAAGGGACACAAGTACGGTATCATTCGGGACCATTCGGGACAGTGCCCGGTCCAATACTGAGAGAATATTGACCGGCAATAGAGCATTTTGATTGGTGGATTTTAGTTATTGGCCCTCTGACTGCCCGAGTTGTGTAATAAAATCTGATGTTAAACCTTTCCTCTAGCTGCCATACAGTTCCTCGTAACTTAGTTATTTAGGAGAATTTGGTGTTAGATCAAGATGAGAACTTCTACCTGCTATGTTTGAGTATTCTCATTACCTGTTTGCTGGGTAATGTATGGATATTTTAGAGAGAAGTTAAATGTTAATCACTTCAAGGAATGAAAGGTTGAAACCTTTGTCATGATGGTGATGAACATGCCACTGCTCTTAGCAGGAGAGATGCAAATCAGCCATAGTATGGTGCCTGAATATAGCACCAGATTATCATAACTTATTTTTAGAGTAGATAAGATAATCTGTTAAAAAATAGGAAATGATTTTCAGCTAATCAGATCATGGTAGTTAGAAGTTTAAAGAAGTTTAAAAAGGGTGGAAAGATAATATCAGATGAATTATTTCTTACAAAGGCCCATGTCTATGAAAATGTAAAAGTGCACAGACTTAATGCATCAGATTATAGACAAGGTTTCCAGAAAATAATCATCTTTGTCGAATAATATAAGTGTTTAATTCATTTTGCATCATTTTAGAGAAATATTGTAATTACTACCAGAAGAAGGTGAATGTTATCAAGGCCTCCTCAAAAGTTGATTGCCTATGTTAGGGTGCAATAATTATTAATCATATTTCTATCTAATTTTCGTACCAATGACAGTCATTTCTGATCGTGTGGTACAACGTCAACGGATGAAAAGCGTCCAATATCCCCTTCTTTTCTATAGGCTTATCATCTTGTCTCGGTGGGCCTGGAAAAGGGGAGCTGTGATCAGTTATTGTCAGCTATCAATACCTCAAGCGCATTCACCATTTATGACAAGTTAACCACAATTCCTAGCAGATATTTTGCCAAGAAAGCCGGCCTAGCCAAAATCCTCACCTACTCGTAAATTTACCAGCTAGTTTAAATAGGACTGGGGAGCGGATACTATCGATGTCAGTATCTGAGGATGCGCACCTATCCCCCCGCCC